ATATCCCGTTTTATTTCCTAGCAACTACACAGGACAATGTCCATGGTCTACGAAGATGCTGCCAGCTTTGAGGACGACGCCAGACCGTGCCCGTGCCGCGCATGCGAGAACCACAGGCGTTATCAGCGGTTGCATCCAGAAAGGCACAAAGAGCAAGTGAGGGCATATTACGGTCGCAATCAAGAGAAGATCCTCCTGCAAAAACATATGCGCGATATGTTGCAGGCCACACGAAGAAATTCCACGAACAAACTCTCGTGAGGCTGAAAAAGGCAGGATTCTCGATCCCACCGGACACAACGTCAAGATTCACTAAGGAGGACGGACTCTCTGGAGATATTCCGTCATATATATCAGCTGAGGCCTACTGGTGGATATCTCACAGTGCTGCGATCCCGCTCAAACCTCAATGACAAAGAGGTGTACATTGAGACTTAAGCACCAGAGAAATTTATCTTTTCGCCATTTGGCAGGTAATGCTTTTCGTAAGTGGTCATCTGGATCGAAGACGAATGCAGCATTTTTTTTGCCAGCTCGTCCCTCTCGGCAATGCTGGGTGCATCTTTGAATGTATTTGAAATACATATTTTCCGTAAAAGGCAAGATCCGACGTTCGCGTCCGGAAAGATCTTAGAGCAAAACTTTGTCAGGTAGTTTCGAGACATTGGCGCATCAGGAGAGCGCATTCTGCTGAGGAGATAAGCCCTTGGAAACACCTCCAGACTTTCCGAAATGACATTGTTGGTACGAGTTGGCAGATCGATGGTTTTTTCGCCGTAGGTTTTTACCGTCTTGTAGTCTTTTAGCACGATTTGGAAGCGGCCTTTCTCGTATTCGAAAAGGTAATTACCAGTTCCGGCCATCAAGGCTTTTGCAGCAGAGTCGTCGTAGCAAACAATTGGCAGCTCGCTGTAGTCATTTCTCACAGCTGGTGAATAGGTATAGAGACACAACACCAAGTGCCGGATTAGGGTAACCTTGTCTAGAACGGTCAATTGTTCTGCATGGCTTTTTAGGTAGAATGTAACGGTTCACTCGTCGTTGCAGCTCCACCCGCCTTTCGTTGATCTGTTCAAGCGATCTCCAGTTCTTATATTCCGATTCCGAGAGAACTTGCGGCGGAGGTCTGGCATTTTCCATCACTTCGCGAACCGATTGGTACCGTTTAAAGTAAGTTTGGTAGAGTTCAGTGTTTTGGTCGGATTTCAACTCCTTTTTGACAATGACGAGAATGGGGGTTATGCATGTTGCCTGCATGCTCGGCTTTTCCTCATATGTGTTTGCCAAATAGCCGATTATCCGGTTTGTATCCTTGAGCCACTCGAAACTCGACATATCAGCATCTTGACCGTTCAGTCCTTTGTACAGACGTGCAATATGACTGCAGTATTGGTTAACGGTCACCGGTTTCCGGGTGCCATCGTCAAAGACTTTCTGAAGAAGGTCTTGCGTCATTGGCGTGGTTACAGTGCGTGTCTCAGCCTGAGGCCCCCACTACATTGTCCGGCCGGTTGTCAAAAAGCGCACTACGATTTGCCCGGGGCCCGCAAGATACGGGGCTGTTCATCCAGCGGGGCCACGTCAAATGTACGGAATTGAACTGGCCAATGAAACAGGGGTGGTACATATACCACGTGGGTTGGTATAGGACCGCCGGTCCCGTCAGGCTGTGAGTGCCCGGTCACTAATTCAGCGTAACATCGCCTGCAGACACAGCCAATTCAGCTGCCCGGTGAC